TTTTCTCTCCATGTGACTCCCCAGGCTCACTTTACATCATCGAACACATTCCTCTGTGGCCCCATAATCTTCTTGATCAGAAAATTTGGAGCACAACTGAGTTACATGTGATAAACAACATTTTAAACTAGTAGTTTAGGGGTTGGGGAAATGGCTTGGTAGAATAAGCACTTGCCTGGCAAGCATAAGGGCCTGAGTTCAAAACCCCAGTTCCACCAAAAAATAAATAAATAAATAAATAAATAAATAAACTAGTAGTTTATTTTACTAGGAACTGCACCCACTTTGCACTGAGCTATATTTTATCAGCCTCTTTTATTTTTTGAAACAGTTTTGCTAAGTTGCCAGGATAGGCCTGAACTTGTTTTTTGTTTTTTTGTGGAACCAGGGATTGAACTCAGGCCCTTGCGCTTGCCAGGGAAGCGCTTATTCCACTGAACCATCTCCCCAGCCCTTAACCTAGTAGTTTGTTTTTATTTTTTGGCAGTGCTGGGGTTGTACCCTAGGGCTAGGAGTAGGCAAAGCAAGTGTTCTACCACTGGGCTACATAACCAGCCCTAAGGTTGTATTTGAAAGAAGTTAAAGTGAAGGCAGAAAATTTGTGATTACATTTTAAAATAAAGACAGGGATCAGTATAAACAGGTCTCTGCAGAGCCCTGTCATAATCTAAGGCAAACAAGAAATTCATCATGGAAGGTTTTGGATTAATTTTGATATTGAAAAATTACATTGCATTACTGTCTTACTCTTTTCTCGTTGCTGGGACAAGTACCCGACACTCAAAATGAAGGAAGGAAAGGTTTATTTAGCTCACAGTTACTGGAGGTTTCAGTCCATACTCAGCTGGGTCCAACGCAGAGCAGCACATAGCAGAGAGCAACCTCTCATGGCGGTGGCAAAGAGCAAGAGTGCAAGGGAGGGGTAGCAGCAGCTCAAACAGCTAGCTTCTCTCCCTCCTTACATTGTAATGCAAAGTACCTGCCCCAGGGTAGGGGAAGTACTCACACCTATGGGTACTTCCCAGTATTTACCCACCTATGGGTAATCCCAGCAGTACTAAAACCCATAATCCCAGCCTTGGATCACACGTAATCCCAGTGGATCATGAGTTAACACAAACTCTAGAAGTCCTCACCCCATGACTGCATGAGGCTTTGGGGGAACAACTAGACACAAACCATAACAATTACTATGTATCTTCTTTATTGAATTCACATTATGTGCACCTCACTTTCTGTAGCCAAGGGCTGGCTCTGATCAAGTGGTCAAGGGAAATTGTTTTTCCATTTTATTCTTTAAATTGTCGAACAAAAATATATGTATGCTATATAACAGGAAATTTTGATTTATTTTTACTTTATTTTTCGTGGAACTTGAATCTGGGGCCTCATGCGTGCTGGACAAGTGGTATACCACTGAGCTGCAGCCTCTGCCCTTCAGGAGAATTTTTTTTTTTTTTTTTTTTTTTTTTTTTTTTTTTGTGGCCAGCTCGGTCCACTCTGAGGGCGGGGCTGGTATAGCATGTAGTGCTGGGGATTGAACTGTGGTTCCTGGGATTGCCTAAGCTTGTCTAAGCAGGCAGTTTAGACCGCTGAGCTATCTTGCTGGTCCAGGAGGGATTTTTAGTATAATTAGTGCTCAGCAAGCCAGCTCCCACACTTGACTGACAGACAGCCTCTGAAGCCGGCCTGTTCATGACTGTGGCTCAGCTCGGCCACTGTCCTGCTCTGTGAGCTCAGACACGTTGCTCTGTGCCAGTTGTCTTGAGTATAAAATGGAGAGAGGACCAGAACCCACCTCCCAGAGCTGTTGTAGAAACTGAGTCCCCACATGCAAAGCTCAGTTGTGCCTTGTGTGCTGGAGACTTGGAGGTGTCAGCTGCTGGGATGTGTACTGTGTAGTCTGCGAGATAGGACAAGATGGGTGAACTCTTGGAAGCGCAGTGTCCCGAGTGCTGTTGAGACACAAACGAGGCAGAGTTCATGCAGTCCTAGACGGCTGCTAGAGGTGGTAACATTGGAGTTTGGCTTTTCCCTTTTGTGATACTGAGGATTACACCCAGGGCTTTTGCCTTGAGCTGTCTGTCTGTCTGTCTGTCTGTCTGTCTAAATTTTGAGACAGGGTCTTGTTTACTAAGTTCCTTAGGGTTGGCTTGAACATGGAGTCCTCCTGCTTGGGCGTCCTAAGGGCCTGCAATGACAGGTGTGTGCCATCATGCCTGGCGAGTTCGGCTTTTATAGCTGAACGTGGAGTGTAGCAGCAGCTGCTGAGCATTGGAGAGGAGGCCCAGGGTGTGGGCTAGTGGCCTGAGGAAGGTGGGAAGATGCACTTGGGGGGGGGTGTGGTGAAGTAGGGGTGAGGCTTCATCCAAGTATGGGGAGGCTGCCAGAGGTGTGCAGGCCTGGCAGCAGCAGGCCCGGGGCTGTGCTAGGAGTCCCAGCAGAGGATAACTAGGAGGAGGTTGGGGATGTTGGGGGGGTACACCCAGGGCCAAGTCAGGAGCCCCTGGCGTGCAGTTGGCCCAGAGGGGCTGGATTGCCTGGGCCGGGTCCGGTCACCCTGGGTGGCTAGTGGAACCCCAGAGGGGAGGAGCCCGGTGAGGTGGCTCCGTGTCTGGGGATCTGACTGTGGCATTTGTTGCAGTGAAGCGAGGTGCAGATGAGGACCACCAGGAGCAGTGCCTATCCCAGCTCTACGACCACATGCCAGAGGGGCTAACGCCCCTGGCCACTCTGAAGAACGATCAGCAGCGCCAGCAGCTAGGTGCGCCCCAGCCCCACACCTGGAACGGAAGCCCCATGCACTGCCCCCAGCATGGTCCCCGGGGTGAGGCGGGGCGGGGGGCAGGGCATCCCACAGCATCATGGTGAGGCGCAGTCCCTTGGCTCAGAGGGCTCCCTGAGCTGGCTCTCAGAGGTGCCCGGGCTCCTCACCATGAAGGCAGGGCTGTGACCTGCTCCCAGCACTGCAGTGGTCCATGTGTAGAAGGATGGACGTGGTATCGGCTTTCTTATGGTTCACCGAGAACAAGTAAAGGCGGTAATGCCTTACCCTGTGCTGTATGTCCATGTGAATCCCTTACCACTGAGTACTGTCTCCCTTTAGCACCCAACCTCACCCTGCCAGCCCAGCCCTGGTGCGGCGCCCCTGGACTCTGTGCCCTTGTCTCTCCTTCTCCCTCCCAACTGACCAGCAAACTCCATCAGTCCTACCTAGAGAACATAGTCTTAAACCTGATCACTTCTTGAATCCCTTCCAGATTTCAGTCTTTTTTTTTTTGCAGAACTGGGGATTGAACTCAGGCCCTTGTGCTTACCAGGCAAACACTTATTCTACTGAGCCTTTTTTTTTTTTTTTTTTTTTGGTACTGGAAATTGAACTCAGGACCTTGCACTTGTCAGGCAGGTGCTGTGCCACTGAGCTATATCCCTGGCCCAGGGGATCCCCATCTTACCATGGAGGAAACACGCTCGAGGCCTGGAGCAGTCAGGCAGCCTGCCCTGCTCAAGGCTGGTCCCCCTGCTTCTTTCTGCTGCTCTGTAGCCTGTTTGTTTCAGTCCGGCACTCGCACCCTGACGGGCCCTGGGTTAGGAGTGAGCAGGCCTTTATCCCAAGCACAAGGTCAGGCATGATCTGGCCCTGCTCCTCTCTGACTTCATTCCCTATCTTTCTCTCCCTCCTGCCATACCTACCCTGTTCCTGGTGGCCTTGAAAACCTATGGATGCTTTGATGCCCCAGGGCCTTTGCATGTGCTGTACCCTGTTTCAGACATGCTTTTCTATTAGACATCTTTATGGCTGTTCTTTCATTTCCTTCAGGAATCTGCTCAGTTGTCCTATCCCATTAAAAAAAAAAAAGAGCCAGGGAGATAGCTCAGTGGCATAAGTACCTGCCTGCCAAGCTCAAGGTCCTGAGTTTGATCCTCAGTACTGGAAAAAAAAGAGTGTGTGTGTGTGTGTGTGTGTGTGTGTGTGTGTGTATATATAGTCAAAGACATATATATAAGGTCAAAGACATTTTTTATTAAAGAACTCTTCCTTGTCTATCATCTTGGAATAGCTTCCATACCCAGCCTCTCTCATCACAGCTGCTGACTCTGCTTTATTTTTTCTGTATAGCCTTGTCATCACATGATCCAGTACATATTTCTATTTGCTGTTATTTATCCTGTCTTCATCCACTAACATGTAACTCCATGAACTGGGGTGCAGCTTTTTGGTCATAACTTCGCTGTCATACTCCCAACATTCTGTGAATGTTTAGTAGTCACAAGTGAGCGTGCCTCTCGGAGTACCCTCGGCTGTCCTAGCAGATCCTTGGGAAGGACGTGCCCACCTTCTCGGGCTGGCCCTCGGGCCCTGTGGCAGGCACTCCCTGATGTGCCACCTCTCTGCTCTCCTCCTGCAGGAAAGTGCCACCTGCACAGAGCGATCACCTACCACGAGGAATCGCTGAGGGAGGCCAGCCTGTGCAAGAAGCTGCGCGGCATCCAGGTGCTGCAGGAGGTGCTGTCGGCCGCGCACCAGCGCACGCGACTCAAGTACACTGAGCACCAGGAGGACGATGACCTTCTGAACCTGACTGATGCGCCCAATATTGTCTGTGAGTGGCCATACCCAGGCCCCTCGTGGAGGCCGGCCCGCAGTGCGCACTGCGCCTGCCCATCCTGGGACTGCACGGGAGGGATCGAACGTCTCCCCTGCCCCTGCCTTTCTGTCTCCAGATCCCAAGGGCCGGGCTTCTGCATGGGCTCTGGCCTGTGGTGTCTTTGCAGCCCTTGCACCTCTCCTGCCTCTCTCCTGCCTCTCTCCTGGCTCTCTCCTGGCCCCCTCTGCTCCTCTCCTCCTGCCCCTTGCCACTCTTCCCTGAGTGTCAGGCACCTGCCGACCCACTCTATGAGCCCTTGTTCTCTGTCCCCTAGGCTGACTGTACCTCCTACCTGGTCCTACCATCCTGGCATTTTCTACCCATCTGGTCTGCTCTCCCTGGTTTGCCTTCTGTAGGCCCCTTTCCATAAGGTCTCAGGACCTGCTTTGGGGCTCAGCTATTGCTGAGGCCTGGAGTCACCAGGAGACCCCAGAGACTCATCTTTCTCCTCACATGCTCCGAGGCTCCACACCACACACATTGCAGCTGCCTCCTAGGAAGCCTTGCTGTGCTGTCTTCTGCTTCCTGCTGGCTAGATGCCCTCCAGCTGGCCTGCGGGGCTTTGCTGCTGGCCCCGCCTCTGTCTTCTATCATTACCACCATCTCTCAGCCTGTCCAGGGTCTGGGCGCCCTGGTGGTTCAGGAGTGCTGAACTGGGCCGTTGTTGCTGCCCTTGGGTCTTGGTGGTGACTTCTGCTGCTAGGGCTCAAGTGCAAGGGCCTCCTGCAAGCAGTGGCTGTCTACCAAGGGAGGGCTAAGATCGGGATCCCCTTTGTCTCTTACCCCTGAGGACCTAGAGGAAAACCCAGCTTGGGCCCCCCTTATCCCACTGCACACTCACAAAACGGATCACTCCTGACACCAGGCGAGGGGTGATTGTCCCACACCAAGCACGGAGGAGTTCCACAGCTGACACTGGCGGGTGCTCTCTCTAGTTCAGTACCCATACTGAGAGGTGGCATCACATCCCCCAGGCTGAGGGTCCAGTTTTCAGGACTCCCTACTGGCTAAGGATCCATCCCAGGGCTTCCTTACAAGGCCAGGCCTCTCCCACTGAGCTACACCTCTGTTTGAAGGCACTGTGGTAGCAGATGGGAAGTTGAGCACAGCACTGTTATTGTGGGTTTGTAGAGGCCCAGGGCCCCTGGGGGACAGAACTGGTGTGACCTGCCGTGGTGATGTCCGCCCTCCTTCTTTTCGTATTGTTTCTGAGTAATTAGCCTGCTCTGGAATCCTTTGTTCAAATCCTCTGTCTCAGGCCCTAAGAGGGTATGGCTTATGGACAGTACCCTAGTGGAAAGCACAGTGATGCCAGCCAGGGGATGAGCAGGACCCCATCTTTTGTACCACTGTTCTAACCAGGGCGAGTGTCATGTGGCCAGGAGGAAGTGTGCTTTGTGTTTTATTTGGAGAGAAGGCTGAAGACCTGCATTTAAATGTATTTTGTTATTTTTTAATTTTTTTGTATTTTAGGGAAGGGTCTACAGGGTGTTCAGGGCCTCAGTACTAGGTTGGACTATAGTGATCCGCCTGTTTACAGCCTCCCAAGAGCTTATAGGCATGCGCCACCACACCCAGTCTCAATTGCTGCCTCAGTGTGCTGGGGGCAGGGCTGCACTGCAGGCCTGGGGATTGAACCTCCGGCCTCTGTGCCTGCTTGTAGGCACTTTAATCTGCTGAGCTACTTGGCCAGTCCTAAGACCTGCATTTTAAAGAATCACTTTCTATTACAGAAACATTAATCTTTTCATCTTTACTCTTCTTCTCCAGCAAAAACTGAACAAGAGGCTGAAATGATACTGCCCCAGTTCTCCAAAGTGACAGTAACGGACTTCTTCCAGAAGCTGGTATGTTGAGTACCTATTTCATAAGTGACCTAAGCGGAACAGTTTTTCTGCTTTCTAAGTCTGTCACAGAGCACCATAGACTGAGTGGCTTTTGCACAACAGAAATTTTAGCCTCCATTTTCTCAGCTGAGAGGTCCCAGGTAAAGTCACCACAGATTCATGTCTGGTGAGTGCCTGCTTTGTGGCTCGCAGATGGTGCCTTCCTACTGTGTCCTCATGAGGAGAAGCCGAGTGGCTCCGCTGAGGCCACTTACATGACCATGAGCCATGTTAATGAGGGCTCCACTTCTTGACCTGCTCGCTCCCTAAAGGCCCGATCCTAACGATTGTGTTGGTGTCAGCACAGAATTTGGAAGAGACAGACTTTCAGACCACAGCGTATTTTAAAAAGCTCTGTAGTTATATACTTTGGATTTTTTTTTTTTTTTTATGTTAAAAGTTTTAGTTAGGGTTTGGTTTTGTTGTTTTGGGGCCAGGGTCTCAATGTGTATTTTCAGCTGGCCTTGAACTCAGAATCCTCCTGCCTCATCCTCTTGAGTGTCAGAGTGACTTGTATCACCGCACCTGGCTTAAGATAATTTAATTGAGATAGTTTCTAGGAAGTAATATTAAAAATCCTGGATATGCTGGAGAAAGTGGCAGTTAGTATTCTCGTGTGATGTGCTAACACCTGTTGCTCCAGATAGTGTCTGTAGCCTCTCAGCGAGGCCACAGGAGGTCCTCAGGCCAACAGGCAGCATTCCCCATCTGCTTCAGAACCTTGCACAGGTCCTGGCAGCTCTAGCTCTTCAGGAGACTGAGGCAGGAGGATCCCTTGAGCTGACTGCCTTGAGACCAGATTGCACAACATAACATAATCAGAGAGTCTGATTTAGCCTCCAAATGCTCAACCTAATGATGCTGTCTTCCAAAGGGCCCCCTGTCGGTGTTTTCGGCTAACAAGAGGTGGACGCCTCCCCGAAGTGTCCACTTCACCGCGGAGGAAGGGGACCTGGGGTTCACCTTGCGGGGCAATGCCCCTGTTCAGGTCCACTTTCTGGATCCTTCCTGTTCTGCTTCGGTAAGCCTGCCTTTCTCCAGCTGGGGGGACACATAAAAGTGAATGGCCCAGACACCTGCGTAGGCAGTGGGGTTCAGGGCTCACCTGTGTCAAAAGCCTGACTTTTGATGCCAAAAGGTGCTTCTGGGTGCTCCATGGCCAAAGAGGGAAGAATGAAAGTCTCTCCTCTACTGAGGCCAACTTAGGCTCACCTCTACTGGGAACTGACTCAGGGAATTAAATGTATGAAACACTGACCTTTATTTAATATTTTCATAGCTGGCAGGAGCCAAAGAAGGAGATTATATTGTTTCCATTCGAGCCGTGGATTGTAAGTGGCTGACAGTGAGCGAGGTTATGAAGTTGCTCAAGAGCTTCGGTGGGGAGGAGATTGAGATGAAGGTCGTGAGCCTCTTGGATTCCACGTCCTCAATGGTGAGTGCAGAGGCTGCTGGCAGTGAAGGTGGGGTGGGGTGGGGCTGCGGTGGGCTCCACCCAGAGGCCTCAAGTAGCCTCCCACCATCCACCCATACAAAGTGGCATGCATGGCTCTGCTCTCCTAGAGTCCTCCCTGGGATGTGCTCACCCGGGGCGAAAGGATCATTTGAAAACTTCTAAAAATTTTAATCTTGTAGGTAAAATAATCAGTGGGTTTGTTTTTCTGATTAAATTCTCTACAGTTATAGAAAACGTTCAGAGGGTACAGCAAGGGTTAAGATAGCAGGCGAAAGTCCCCTCCGTATCTCAAAGGCAGCATTAACCATTTCCTGAGAGACCTTTGGGAATTATTTGATGCTTCTTCAAGTTTGTGTTAAGTCCTTTAGCTTTTCTAGTGGAAAGGATCATGCCTGAGATTCTCCTGCCCATTGCTACCACGTTGTCGTATCTCACCTGGCCCTGCATAACAACATTCATTCATTCAGCAAATACTGATAGTCAGCTGTGTGCCTTTGTTTTAGTGTTTTTGTTACTCCAGTGAATTAAGGGAGGCTGCTTATGAAAACAGAGGCTAAGTGGGGCTTGGTGGCACACGTCTGTTATGCTGGCCCTTGGGGGGCTGAGGCAGGAAGATGGCTGTGAGTTTGAGGCCAGCCTGCGTTATACATCGAGATCCTGTCTCAAACCTCCCCCACCCCAGAAAATAAAAAAAGAAAAAGTTTACTTGGCTCAGTTTTGGAGGCTGAAAGTCCAGGGTCAGGCAGCTCTGTTGACTTGGCCTCTAGTCAAGGCCTAGTGGCAGATGGAAGCTGCGTGGGGTCACATGCAGAAGGAGAGATCACGTCGCGCAGTAGGAGGTCTCAGCATTCTGCGAGGCTGATCCAGGAGGGCCACAACTTTGGAGTCTAGCCTGGGCACCTTAGACCCTGTCTCAAAATGAAAAGATAGAAAGGAGTTGGGTTGTAACTCAGCGTGAAGGTGCTGGGTTCAGGACCCAGTAGTGAAAACATAAAACAAATAAAAAACCCAAACTGGCAGTCAGAGCCGCCTGGGTCTCTCACCCTAGGGGATCCCCCCAGGGGACCCCCAGGCGGCCTCCAACGGGGCCCCATGTCTTAAACGTTTCCCTTCCAGCAGGGCCACTCTGAGCACCAAGCTTCACAGCTTATGGTCCTTTGGGGGCTAAACCACATCCACCCACAGCACCCGTGCCGGTGGGAGGCATTGAAGCTTCAGCTCCAGGTAGACAGAAGGTCCGTGTCCCCAGGGAGCCGGAACTAAGCAAGTCCGAGGCTGTGATTTAGATAAGTGCTATAGGAGAAGAAAGCACGCAGTGGGGGCACAGGTCTGGGCTGGAGACGGCTGGAACCAGCCTGAGTGCTGAGAAGGCCAGGGCCCTGCTGCAGGGCGGGGCTGCTCCTGCCAGCACAGAAGGCCTCACTCCAGGTCCTCCTAAGATTTATATTATGATTATACTCAAGCACTGCAGATGTGCGGTGGATGGTAAACGTTTACATTTTCAAAATGTATTACATGAAACAACATGTTGCCATCCATCCCCCTCAAAACACTCCTCTTTACTTTGAACACACTTACTTTACGGTTATGGCCCCTTTCTAAGCAGTTCTGCGCGTCCTCTTTTGTGAGCATCTCGGTGCTGTGTGGCTGCTTTGATGTCCCGAAATGATTTAAAATGCTTACGTTTCGTGGTCCTTTTGACTTTGGGGAAAAGCTGAAAGTCACATGGCACCAGATCTCTTGAATGAGGTGGACGGGGGCAGTAAACACTGAGCGAACGGAATAGTCTCAATGTTAGGTCAGCCTTAGAGGCAGGTGACTTAGAAAGCACTTTCCTTAGATGCCTTCATGAGGCTTACATACATAATGCTTCAAAGATAATAGTGTATATAGAGTTTCAGTTGAGGAAGCTTTTAAAAGTTCTTGAGATGGATGGTGATGATAGAGAACGGTGTGGACATATTTACTGGAACTGAACTGCACATTTAATTAAAGTGGTAAGCCACCATAGTGTTTTATCTTTCTTTTTTTTTTTTTTTTTTTCGGAACCGGGGATTGAACTCAGGCCCTTGTGCTTGCCAGGGAAGCGCTTATTCCACTGAGCCATCTCCCCAGCCCCACCATAGTGTTTTAAAGGGGGAAAAAGTTAAAAGCAGTATCTTCATGGATTCTGTATTGTCTTTAGAGAGAATGAAGTTGATCTGTACCTATTAACAGAGATTGAAATCTTAAGTTTTGCTAAATGAAGAAGAAAGCCAAGTGTAGAAAATGTGTGCTGTATGCTCCTTTTGTTGATGTAGAGTGTCTGATGAAAGAAATGTCAGAGCAACCATTGTCAAAAATTTTTAGGGTAACTTGGTGCCTGCCTGAAAAATGTATTGTTTTAGACTCTCAATTTCAAAAAGGTTCCACAGAATTAGTCTGCGCTTAGCTTACTCATGTTTATATGTAATGGTCCTACAGGGAGCTTTTATTTAGCAAATGTCTGCATGAGTTTAGATTCCACTCGTCTGTATTATGCATGACATAAATTTCATTATGCTTTTGAAATGCTTGCATGCCTATCAAATAAGTTAAACCATTTAATTTGTTTTGAATTGCTGTGCAACATAATATCCTAAATTCAGGAGAAAAAAAAAAGATGAAAGGTAGCCAGGTGGTGGCACATGCCGTAATCTCAGCATGGGAGTCTGAGGCAGAAGGATCACAAGTTCAAGCCTAGCCTGGGCAATTCAATAAGAACTGTCTCAAAAATATTTTTTAAAGTGCTGGGTGTGTAGCTCAGTGCAGAGACCCTTAGTTCAGTCCCCAGCACTCCCCACCCCAGACAAATGGTGAAGTCTACTTATGCACATATACAAATGCTCTTCTCTGCACATTATCTCTGAAGTATAACACAGTGATTACCTTAGAGGAAGCCCCCAGAAGCCACAGTGAGAGGGAGACCTGCTTTGTGCTGTATTTTCTTTTTCTTTTTTAGGTTATATTGCATTTTATTTCTTTTCTTTTTTCTTTTTTTTTTTTTTTGACATCAGTTATTTTAAAGAAAAAAAATAAAAACAATGGTACAAAATCTCAAAACAAGATTTTAGGAGAGTAACAATGGTTAGTACATTGTGTATTGTTACTGCCAAAGTAGTTTTTCATATCACAAGATATAGGCAAGAAATAATAAATAAACAACATAGGTACAAACCTCTTTTTTTTTAAAGTCAACAGAAAATGGAAATATACTTTTTAAAGTTTCTAATACTAGGAGAAGATATCATACAATGTCTTTTAAATAAATTGTAAGTCAAAGATACAGTGTAAATCTTAGAACAAAAATTAAGATTAAGCAATATTCAGAAAATTAAATGTTTCAAAACAATTGAACTAAGAAAAAGTTTTCCTGATAGCAAAGAAGTACTAGAGTAAAACATAAGATAAATACTGGAATGGCAAGAAAATGACCAGCACTTCTAACAGTTTGAGGATAGGATATCGCACAAAGTTCTAGTGTGTTGTGGACATGCATAATGACCGTGACAGTTACTGGTGGCTAGGCGTCACTTGTGGAAGTGAGCTACAGCTATTTCTTTGAAATCCACCCTGTAGACTCAGGTGGAATCATGACCCATAGGGTGGAAGAGAAGTCTATTTGTAGCGTGTGCTGGTAAAAATATTCTGCTGCTTAACACAAAGGAATAACTGAAAGACTACTATTGTATGTACTGTATTTTCATTTGCTGACCATTGCTAGGCATTTCCTGAATACAAGAACCTTAAAAAGTGAGTAGTTGTTCTGAAACCTAAACCACTACTGAGTGTTTTCCTTAGAAATTGTCCTTGGTGAATTGGGCATGGTGGTGCATACCTGTAATCCCAGCACCCGGCAGGCTGACGCAGAAATGCCAAGAGTTTGAGGTCAGCAAGACCCTGTCTCAAGAAAAGAGTTGTCCTTGCTTTTAGGAGCCTAATTCTATATAAGTATTGGTCACCTGGGAGTTAGAAGGATGTCCTCTTGATTAAGAGGACAATGTAGAGGCAGAATGTGAGTCTCAGACTTCAGCATCACTCGGTGGGCGTCTTGAAGGTATCTAACCTTTGCGCTTCTGCTCTGTGCAGCATAACAAGTGTGCCACGTACTCTGTGGGAATGCAGAAGACGTACTCCATGATCTGCTTAGCCATAGATGACGATGATAAGACTGATAAAACCAAGAAAATCTCGAAAAAGCTTTCGTTTTTGAGTTGGGGCACCAATAAGAACCGCCGGAAGTCCGCCAGCACCATGTGCCTCCCGGCAGTGGGGGTGACAAGGCCTCACGTCAAGAAGAAGCTCCCCACTCCTTTCAGCCTGCTCGGCTCCGACAGCTCTCTGTACTGAGCGGGGAGCAGAGATGGCCGCTTCAGGGTTCACCAGGCCTTAACGTTTGTGCCATAATGAGGAGCCTCTAGATATTTTCAAATCCCATTTTCTCACACGTATGTGATGTGCTTTTATGAAAGTAACAAGAAACTTCTTGAAGTTGGGGGAAAACACACTTATTTGAGGAGTGTCTTGATTTTGCTGCAAGTTATTTATTCTATAAAGTATTGTACGTAGTATTGAAAGATGTCTGTTTTTAATGGTTAGTGACCACTTTTAAGTACTCCGAGTTCAACTGTGGTTACCTATGTTAGCACTGTTTGTTACCTGTTTAGGTTTGGGTAATAACCTCTCCTTAACCTAGAATTGGGATGACCCTTGAGTTAGGGCAGACCAGAGGACCATAATGATAGAATGAGATCTGTGTTCCTAAAAACTGTTCCTCATGGAATTCACAAACTTAAAATAGGATTTTGGCCATTCTTTCTGCGTAATAGGAATGCTATTTCCAAGTAAAGTCTAGTGCCAAATTTGTCTTGATTTTGTTTTTGTTGTTCTTTTTTTAAGTTTTGGCAGTGCTAAAAAAAAGGTACTACCAAAACATGAAAATGCAAAGGAGCAGCTTTTCCTCCAGTTGGATGCCATGTACAAGTTGCTAACACAGCGGCAGTGTTAGTTGGAGATGCTGTCTACAGGGTAGATAATATACTGTTTGATACTCAAAACATTTTCATTTTGTTTAAAGTAGAAAGCACATAACTATTTTAAGAGTCTTGGGTAAAAAGGTAGCTTTACATTTTGTACGGTGAAGATGTAAATGATTCAAGTTTAAAGCTCTATTTGATTTCTCAAAATGAACATTCTTTCTTACCAGTTTGATTTCTTTGGCTGTAAGTTGGATGACACCATGGCTCTGATAAGATTCGTGGTTGACATAGAAAAAGTGACATAGCTTTAAAATATAGCATTGAAATCTAATTTTGAGAAATTAACAATAATTTTATATTGTGTAATGACACAGGAAGCAACCAGTTTTGGGAAACTATCTACCGCTTACAGGGCCTCGTTTGTATAAATATTTAAATAAACACACTTGTCTGACTTTTTTTTTTGCCTCTGTGTCACTTTAATTCCATCTTTCAAATGTTTCACCCTAATACACAAAATGTTTTTGATTTTAAGCATTAAAATAAACAAGCTCTTAAAGTTAGTATTTTATTTATTTTTTATTTTATTTATTTCCCATAATTTTATTGATAAACAAATAGCAATGAAATAGTTGCAAATCAAATCGGTAGGACAGTTTCAATAATTAACACACTGCATACATTCTTCCTAGTGGTTAATTGCTGTACAGTATTTTTTTAAAATATGGCATTGTTAGTGTATTTTTTTCCATAGTCCATAGTTTGATTTTTTATTTTAAATTAAGTTTATGGGTGCAATTTAGATACACATAATGATCACATTCATCATCAGGAATTTGTACCTGTACACGATAGATGTTTCTGGATTTTGTTTTCCCCATTCCCCTCTCAGCCTTTTTCCCCTCCTTACTTTCGTGTGTTTTTTTCTTTTTTGTAACGTATTTAGGACAGGGTCTACAGGGTCTCACTACACAGATCAGACTTGTAGTGATTCTCCTGTTTTAAGCCTCCCAAGCCCTGCCCACCATGCCACCATGCCCAGTCTCAATCGCTGTCTCAGCATGCCTCTAGGGAGTGGGGTCAGCACCGCACACTGGGGATTGAACCCTGATTATGACACTGCCTAAGCAGGTGCTTCAGTCCACTGAGCTATCTGGCTGGCCCCTAGTGTATTGTTTTCAATGGGCAGTTGTACCCTCTGATCCCCAGCCCCTGGTTTCCACACTGGCCACAGCACCCTCAAATGTTTTCTGGTGTATCTTATTATTGGTCCCCACATACACAAACATCTTCTTTGTCATGCCAATTTTTCATCTTTACAAGGGGAATTTCAGATCCTAGGCTGTGTTCAGGAGACTGCTCAGTAGTTATAGACTGTGTGTCTGTCCCTTCCCTCCAAAAAAACAGGAAGGCAGGAATGAAGGTACAAAGGGACTGTTGAACATTTGTTTATTTACCTTGGCAGCAGCAGCCCTCAGAACACAGCATATGCAGGCCAGACCTGAAGAGCAATAGCCTCGCCACCAGGAACGAGGGCCTTAGGGTGCACAGTGCTTCCTTGTAGATTATTTCCTTTAGGTGGTTGTGTCCAGCACCTGAACTTTACAATACCTTCCCATGGCAGGTGCTGGTTAAGGTCACTCATCAAAATCTACTTAAGGGGCCTGGGAGACGGCTCAGTGGAATAAGCGCTTCCCTAGCAAGTGCAAGGGCCTGAGTTCAATCCCCAGTTCTGCCAAAAATAAATAAAAATCTACCTGAACTTGATTTTTAAACTGGATCCAGCAAAGGAAGGGCTTTTTCATCTTAGGCAGAACAAGGGAAGTGTCACCTGTGCCACTAACTTACATGCCCAAAGCTACAGAGCAAATTAGTACTGTGCAGTATCCATTAAGCCTCTCCTTGTGTTTCCCAAGTTGCTGTGAAAGGAAATTTTTTCTTGGTTTTTAAAGATGAACACCAGATCTTATAGTCGGTGATTTAAATGAAAAAATGTCACAGATGCAAGGCCAGCAGTCACCTGGACTGAGTGAAGAAGGCATGGATTTGCTGTGCTGCTGCCTGTCCAACAACTGGCTCAAGTTCCTGGATGGAAGCATTACTCAGTTGCTGGATACTTGGAAACTTCTGGAGGAGAAGAAGAGCTTTCACTTTCCCAACTCCTGGGATCTGCTGCACAGTTCGGAGAAGAAATGGCTCAGAGAGGGCAGCCCTTCTCTTCCTGAGGAAAGGGTTCTTACTAGGCTCTTTGGTTTGCTCTTGAACCTGAATGGGAAATGAAAAAGCACATAAGCGCCCCCTGGAGGACTGGCAGTTTTCTTAAAATTTAGCTTTCCATTGGATTGGGCTTGACTTGGGAGCTCAACTGTTTTCATATGCCATGAATATAAATCCTTAGGCATCAGCAAAATAACTGAATGTGTAAACATTATTACAGATGCCTTTAATACCCCACAAAATACTTCCTCTTGTTTCAAACACATAGTCATTCTCACTCTCTGAAGCCGTTCCAGAAGTCCTTATGAGAGAATCTTTACTTGAACTGTCCCAGCTGACTCAATGTCCTAAATCAATTCAAAATGTTAATCTTTCACGGTCATTTTTGAGGAAGCGCTAGATGTCACACGATGCCAGATCCAGTGAATAAGGTGAACAAGGACACCATATTGTTTTACTTGACAGAAGTTGCCATATATGTTTTGAATCAGTTCAAGTTACTGAGGCAGCCATAAAATATACTCAAAAGAGAGGACTTCCTGAACTGCAAACAATAACGGGATATGTCTGAAGCAAGATGGTGTACTTTTAGGGACTGAGAACAATGTGTCTTTTTTTTCCCTTATGATTTTACCATGGCAATGTCTTTCACTATAATCATTTTAACATTTTTAATTTAAACATTCACACCCAGTATCTAAATGAGACCTGCTTCATACAGGACCTGTGGGAAGCTTACCTAACAAAAGAAAACCCCACCCCAGTCTGGCAGTTATACCAAGGCAGATGGCAGCATTATCATAGTAAGTTAGGAATAAGGAAGCAAAGGGTGCAGTGGAGAGGAATCTGTGACCTTCACAGGGCTGCTTGTATTTCTGATTTCATTCTTAAGCTGCACATCAGAGAGGCGATAATCCAGGGTTTCATAGGTGCTAGACAAGGGCTCTACCACTCAGCTGCACTGCCAGCCCTGCCATTTTACCTAAAAGGTCACCAGCATAACTGTGAGATGATGGATGGCAGATTTATCACTACCTGGGACTCTAAAATCAGATTTTCAACTCGTTCACTCGTACACCCGCCTGGAGTAAGTGGTAGGCTCAGCTGGCTTTCTGAACTTAAATTTCTCAAAAACAGTAATCCAACACGGAATAACATAGATTGAAGTCACAGATCGCAACTATAGTTAAGGAAAATGATGCTTCAAAGTGAGTTGAGAATCTGCATGCTGACAGGTCTATGGTGAAGGAGGAATCCATACTTACCAACTGGATGATGAGGCAGGATGCCTCTGTCTGGTTGGCCACTGGAAGCAACACCATCCCAAGATCCAGCACGGTAAACTTCTGAATGGCAGGGAAGTACTGTTGACTCATCTGTGTTTTTTCAACTACTACAATCCCTTGAAGATTACTAGACTTCAAAGAAAAACGGAAACCTTTTAGTAACGGCTTTACTTTCAAAATTAAAAGCCTATTTACGTTATCAGTGGTCTCCACTGTTGGCTTGGGAATGGTATTCCCAAGAGATGGGGGTGGAGAGGATACAAATCAATGTTCACTTTCAGGTTCTTTAATTCACTACTTACGTTTCTAACCCGAACAAGTCTCTTTCTGTAGCCATTTCCTGCCACTAAATCAGCTTCCGTGATATAGAGAATGCACGATCTGCTGGACAGGTAAAAATCTACCATTGTCAGGCCATCTTCAAAGACGAGTTTAATTTTTCCTTAAAATGTAGACAACAAAGTGAGTTCGATATACTTCCGTTAAATGTCAGGTGAGAAGGGGGCTTGATGATGGAAAGCAGCCCAACCCACCGACCTTGCATCTCCTGCGCCAGCTGTGACCCACGCCATTTCTCATTGGCCACGATGTGGCCCAAGGGCACGTGCATGGGGCTCGCGCTGTCAGAGGGGTTCGTGTTCATCGGTGGTCTCGACCTAATGTAGGAAATGCAAGGTAACAATTGAACAGGCTCTACTCTACCTGGCCTCACATTCTTCTCGAAGCGAAGCCGGGCCCCCTTCGGGAAGATTCCAGCTAGAGGGGTCGGTGAAAGACTGAATAATTCATCAGTGGCTGCGTCCTTGTATTTAGGCATCTGCCTGACCCCTGATGCCCCAGCTGGGTCTGCACCCTGGGGCTCATCGGTCCAGTTGTGGGTCTGGACCGAGAGAGCACGGGACCACGCCTCCACCCCAAGTCACCAGGATCCGAGACCCTCACCTGGTCCCGCACCACTTCCGGGTTCCCTTCAATTTTTCATCCTGCCCGCCCTCCACCTCTCACAGCGTCGGATAGGCTGTGACGTATGTGATTGATATCTTATTTGACCAATAAAAGGACAGGCAGCTCAGACGGCTTCCGCACTGGTGGAGATTTGAATGAAAGCCTCTAGTTGCCAAGGGCGACGGGCGTGGAAATAACCTAAGTTCTGATTGGTCGAGAGCGAAACACGGCCAGTGGCGGGCGTGGTTGTGGTGAAGTTCGTTGGGGAGAAAAAGCGTGTGGAGCTCCTCCAGTGGGAGTGGGACCACCTTTAAAGAACTGTGCCAGGCTGTGGAGAGAGCTACTCGTAAAGCCATCCGTCCCACAGCAAGGATGCTGCTGGGCTTTCAGAGAGGCCGCAAGAGCCAGTTCGTAAGTAGAGTCTTCCTTCTTGCTCCTTTCCCCCGCGGGCCGGGAGTTAAGAGGCGAGATTTGGGGGCGCGTTTGCGGCTTGGCCTGGGATGAAGCTAAAGCGGCAGCGCCGGAGGAAGTGGTTTTCAGTTTGAGAAGCTCTGATTTTTAGCCGGTCGTGGTGGTACCTGCTTGTAATTCCATCACTGTGGAGCTTGAGGAAGGAGGCTCCCAAGTTTGAGCTCAGCCTGGACAATTTAGTGAGTGTATGTCTTTAAAGAAATAAATACGCTTACATACATAGCTGAGGATGTAGCTCAGTGTTCCCTGAAACGGAAAAGTATTTCTATAGGGCCAGGAAGCCCTGCCCACTCATCTGTGTTTTTTCAGTTACTACAAACCCTTGAAGATAAGTAGACTTCAAAGAAAAAAGGAGATCATTTGGTTACGAGTCCCCAGTACTGCAAAATAAAATAATGCATGATCTGCTGCCTGGGAAATGGAAGGCAGATCTGACTGCTAAAGTATCAAAGATATGTGCGACGCGGAGGAGGGGTAGTGAGACATGGATTTGGGTCCCTTGCTAGGCCCACGAGGGTGGAGGCAGGCTCCTCCTGCCTCGTACAGACTGGAGGTGTGAGGACCATAGCTAGGAGCTGATTCTAGTAATACAAGTGAGAAATGGCAAACATACTATAGGGGATCCACTCTTTCAAAACAAAGCAGCCCTCACAAAGGCTTTTTTAGAGGATCTGCTGGATGCCAAGCCTTGGGGATTATAAAGTTAGGAAGAAAATCCTAATCCCAGCACTCTGGGAGGCAGAGGCAGGAGGATTGCACATTACCCCAGTTTGGGTAATTTAGCGACTCAGCAGGATCCTGTCTCCAAAAAAAAAGAAGAGGGGAGGCTGCAGATGCAGTATTGGGGAGAAGAAAAAAAGGAAAGAGAAGAACAAGGGATGCTTTTTTTGTTTCTTGAAGAATGGCGAGAAAGAGGCGAGAGCCATGTAAATTGTTAAATTATATGACAAACACAGGTGTCACACAAAGACGTTCACAGAGTAGTGAGATAGGCAGAGATGTCTCTGGAGCAGCGGCTCCAGTGGATAACTTTGTAAGTGGGGGAGGATCTGCAGAACACTCTGAATGAGCAGAGATCGGCTCCTAGCTGACTCCCAAAGGATGCCCCAGGCTATACTTCCTTTCCTGCCCAGCACCTTGTGCCTAGCATAGCCTGCTTAGCCTTTGAAGGGGCCACTTTTAAAGGGTGCTGCTCACTAGGCCGTCAGATCTCCTCAAATTGTATCAAAGCCCTGCAATTGGAAATCCTCCCCACTGTCACCCCCAGCCCAGCATCCTAACCTCTCCCTCCCAGCTAACATTGTAACCAGGAAACTGGGGTGCTTGTTATTTGCAAAGCCTTGCCACCTGTGTCTCCCTCCAGTCCCTTGTTTATGCTGTTGGCTCTTCCTAGAATGCATTTCCATCACATTCCAAAGAGAACAGGAGGTGTCTAAAGAGCCAGTGTAAATATCTCTGTGATTTTCTCCAGAGAAGACATTTGGGGTCCCCTTGCTGGCTCTGAGATTTGAAGGAGCCTTTCCTCTGTGGGCTATGTCTCCTTTGATGGTTCTTTTTTAAATTTAATGGTACTTGGGGTTGAACTGAGGGACCACTAAGCTACTTCTCCAGTCCTTTTTGAAGTTTTAAGGCAAGGTCTTACTACATTTCCCAGGCTGGCTTCAAACTTGTGATCCTCCTGAACTTAGTCTACCTTATAGCAGGGATTGCGGGCATGCACAACCATGCCCAGCTAAATCTATGTTCTTTAATAACATTTTGGGTAGGTTCTTCTTTATACCTCTTTGAAGATGACGACAAGCTTTCTTCATTGCTGTCCTGGTACCCTTCCTCTAAAGGTGTGAGCGAATGGCTGGTGGCCAGAAAATGAAGATAAGGCACATCTTAGAGATTTCAGAGGCTGGGTGTGGTGGCGCAGGCCTGTAACCTCAGCAGTTAGGAGGCCAAGGCAGAAGGATCGCTTTGAGTTGGAGGCCAGCCAGCTGGACTACAAATTAAGTTCAAGGCCATCCTGGCCTGAACAGCAAGATTCTGTCTAAAAACAAACCAAAACAAAACAAAA